TATATATATGGTGTGTGTGAAAAGAAATATTTATTCTTTTTATTTATCCACAAACGTAAGACATACATTCACAAAATAATGCTTCTACTAAAACTAAATACTTATATTGGCTGTGATTCATTCATCTCCTTTCAGAATAAAAGTCCCATTGTGTTAATGTGTTTTTTTAAACCTCTTTTTTAAAAAAAACCTGCTGTTTTTTCTCGTTCTTTCAAAATTAAAGCTTTTTATTTCAAGCATTTTGACATGTGAAGCAGGAATCTTTCCTCAGATATGTACGTTTCACAGAGCTAGAGTTCCAACATTACCTGTCCAACCTAATGATAGTAGGCGGAGCCTGCTGAGACCAATCTGTTTTAAATATCAGGTTCAGTTTTTAAAATAAATGTGCAGAAATCAAATCTGAACATTTAGTTTTAATGTTAACATCACTTTATTTTGAAATAGTTCAAAGATACAATAATAAGTTGGTTGATTAATAATAAACTAGAAGAAACAACCTGATCCAGGTTTCATCAGGACTATGGCACAAGTTCAGGTCTTGTWACAGAACCAGCTTTTTGTCCAGTTGTTGCCTGGCTGGTACAGATCAGGTACCATGAACCAAACCAGTTACCACCAGTTTTTACTCCCAGTTTGAATCCAGAATGAGTTTTGCCAAAAACTTGAAACCTTCCAGAGAGGCAGCCTGAAGGCTCCTGGGTGAAACCTGTTGAATCAGAAACAAAACCACAACAAACCAAACAAAACTTTATTAAACACCAGCTGAATAAAATGTGTTACAAGTCAGGTTTGAGTTTGATGCTCATAAAATAATATAATCGGGTCACAACGTTTAAACATTGTGATAATCAGATACATGTGTCCATCTAAAGACCAGAAACCCCCAAACACAGGTTTCTTTATGCTTCCCTCTTCACCTGCTGAAAAGTCCAACACAATCTTAAACTCAGGTTTAGTTTTCAGAGTAAGATCAGGTACATCAGCCAAAGTAGAACACATAGAGTCCCAAACCAGGTGTTCCAGTCCTCATTGATTATGTCAAACACTTCAACGCCCAACCACTGATCACAGCCGTGAGATCTGCTGCTTTCAGATGACTGGCAAGAGGCAGGACTGGACTCTACCGACCAGTAAGGTGTAGGGCTGGTCTCCACCGACCAATAGGAATCATGATTGGTCTCCATCGACTGGAAAGAGGCACGACTGGTCTCCACTGACCAGTAAGGGCTAGGACTGGCCTCCGTCATCTGATGAGAGTCAGGGCTGGTCTCCACTGACAAATAGGAGTCAGAACTGTTTTCCACAGACCGATAAGCATTAGGATGGAAGGTGGACTGATCTGAGTCAACAGAAGGCACTGTAAAGTCCAATGAAGGCAGCACAGAGTCCAAGGAGGTCACCAAGACTACTGAGGGTGATACAGAGTTCAGAGAGTCCATTGAAGGTGGTTCTAAGTCCACTGAGGGTGGTTCTGAGTCATCTGAGGGCGGCACCAGACCTGGGCTGCTGGTCGACTCTTCTCCACCTGTAAACCTGGAGCAACCATGATGACAGCAGGTCAGAGAGCATCAGAGCAGCTGCTGCCCTGATCACCTGAGCAGGTGTGAGGGGATAGCTACTCCATCTCACAAACAAATGAATAAAACACACTGATACTCAACAAAACACACTGACACCCAACAAACCACACTGATACCCAACAAGCAACACTGATACCCAACAAACCACACTGATACTCAACAAACCACACTGATACCCAACAAACCACACTGACACTCAACATACAACACCGATCCTCAACACACCACAATGATACCCAACAAAACACACTGATACCCAACAAAACACACTGATTCCCAACAAACCACACTGATAC